TCCTCCTCCGCTGCGCTCCTCGCCCCGGGTTGGGCAGCTGCCCCGGTCCCGCCTCCTCCCCTCCTCCTCCTCCTCCTCCTCCTCCTCCTCCTCCTCCAGCCGCTCGCCCGGGCCTGGCCTCGCGCCAAGGCCGGAGCTGGGTGGCCGCCAACACGGCATCGGCCGCGTGGCGCTGTAGCACGCTGCCTAGGGCCTGGTGCATGCGGCGGATCGCTGCAGAGCGCTCCGTCGCGCCCGTCGGGGCCAGCCGGCGAAGCAGCGCCGCTGCGTCCTCTCCCAGGCGGCCGTGGTCCTCGATGACGAACGGGACCACAGGCGCGCCTGGATAGCGCGCCCGCTCGCGGCGCTCCGCGGCCGCCGCAGCCGCGCCCTCGCGGCGCGGCGCGCCGAGGCCAAGGGCGTCCTGGGTTGGGCGCTGACCACTGCGAGGTCGACCAGGATCGGCGCCGCAACCCCTGGCGCGTGGACGACCAAGTCCATGCGGGTTTCTGGGTTCGCGGGCGCCGCGTGGGGCACCAGCGCTTCTCTGTGCACGGCCACCACTCGGCCAGGGCCGCGCACCCCGCGTCGTGCCGGCGCACGCGCCAGCCGCCGACGGCGCATCCCCGGGCGTGGACCCCTTTCGGATCCATGGCCTCCCCGCACGCTCTGCCGTCTGGGTGGCGGTGCTGGCAGAAGCCTGCGCAGAGAGGCAAGTCCAGGTGCAGCCTCGTCCGGACGGCGATTCCGAACTGCGCGTCTGTCAGGCGGTGGCACGGCCGCGCGGGCGGCTGCAGCCAGCCGCTGGCACCGGCACCCCCGGCGCTGAGCAGGGCCGCCGCAGTGGGCGGGTCGGCCGCCGCTTCGTGCGCGACGCGGCGGGCAGCCGCAGCGAGTGGGGCCGAAGCCAGTGCGCGCTGCGTGGCTGCCAGCCCTTCGTCGCCGACGTGGGCGGTCTGGTCGTCTAGGGCCGCCCGGAGGACCCGCGTGGCGGCGGGGAGGCAGGCGCTCGCCCAAGTGCTGGCCCCGGCGAGAGCGCTGGCCCCTGGGAACTCCAGCCTGCGGAGGCAGCGGGGCAGGCAGAGGTGCCAGGAGGCCGCCTGCGCCGCCGGCGCGGTGAGGGCCACGCTTTGGAGCCCCAGTCCGCCTGCTGCCGCCGCCACGAACGCCATCCTCCGGGTGGCATCGTTGAGCGGCTGCCCGAGGATGTGCTGCCCAGATTTTCAAACGGTTGTCTTCCAACGGGGCATTCCCTTTAATGAAAATTAAGTCTTGCATGGGGTCTATGAAGAAGGAGCGCGGACGGAGGGTTAACTCCAATATCGTTGATGGGTCTTGGGTTTGCACTGGCCTTCCACCTCCACCTCCTCCTCCTCCTCCTCCTCCACCTCCTCCTCCTCCTCCTCCTCCTCCTCCTCCTCCTCCTCCTCCTCCTTTCCATCCCCATCCGCCTGAACCTGCCGGTCCTCGCCCTCATCCTCCTGGGCCCCCTCCGCTTGCCCCTTACTGCGAAATCCTGAAGAAAATTCGCACTGGAACGTGACAATGATATTGTTCTTACAACCGGCCTGGGCGAATGATCTGCCGGCCAACACTTGAGCCAAACAGCCTCGGTAACGACGACTGCTCGGCTGACTGCATCACCACATTCCTCACCCAGTCCCAAGGCCATCTTCGAACATCCCCCCTCTGCCACAGTGGCCGATAGAAGCGGCGAAGGGAAGACAGATTCTGAACGAACAGGATAAGGGCAACTGAATCAAAACGAAGGTCGAGCCAAGTCTCCAACCTAGCCGACCGCTGACGTGCTAAATGGTAACGCGCGAAGCCTGCACAGAAAAAGGCGACTAAACAACATGGCGAGAACGTGCAGGGGCTTCCTAACCCGCGTTTTTTCCATGCGCCGCAATGTGCGCGGCTGCGCAAAGTTGATTACAGGTTCGGCAGAAGGTAACCAGGGAGAGACAAAGAGGGAGTAGGAGATCACCTAGCGGCGGCGGAAACGGCTGGCTGACCTGGCTGGCGCGGCAACCCGACCACCATTGTTACGCACCTGATGCATGGCGGTGCGAGAGCGAAGAACGGGGCAACGATTCATCTCATCGACTGCATCGCAGAAGACATTCGACTTGTAAACCGCGCCGTGTTCCTCGCGATCTAACCAGCACCCATCGTCGTCCTCCCTGATGCACGCAACACCGCGGTCCAAGATGTTGTCAAAACGACCCATGGACTCCCAAGACGCGCGGCTTGGGTTGCGAGGGTAGCACAGGAACCCAGCGTCAATCTCACGCACGCGGAGTAACTCAGCACCCGCGTTCGAGCCTGCGATCCACCGACCTCCTTGAACTCCCAACTTGGAGTCAAGCGCCGATAGCCAAGCCTGCTGGCACACTGCCTCCTTGCGCACCCAATGAGCGGTGGATAGCGACACTCTGAAATGGGTCTGGTACCAGCAAGATCCTGGGGGCTGGCCGTGGCTTTCTCGGCTGGTCCCTGCTGAATTGTTCGTTCGCGTCGCACTGCCCGTAGAACTAGCCCGCCAGGACCCTCCAAGCAAGGCAGCGGCAACGGCTCGACGGCGTCGCCGCAACGGAACTGGAAGCTGCACCGATAATTATCGCAGCCCTCCTGGGAAATAACCTGCCCCTCGAAGTCTGCGAGGTCACGCTAGGTCTCGTCGCCGGAACACTTGCCGCAGTAACTCCGCCTTAACAGACGACTAGCCTGGGCGGGCCGCTCATCGTCGGAGTGGCAGCGACGAAATCGGGGCCATGCTGCTCGTCGCCATCGGCTTTAGCCGTCTCCGCGCGCAGCCGTGGGCGCTCGCGCTCGTCGACGACGGCCCCGGCGCGATTCCCGGCAGACGTCTCCAGGAACGGCGGCCGCGCGGGCGGGCCGCCGCGACCGCCAGGGGAAGCGCCTCCAGCCCGCCAACGCTGGGCCTGCTCGGCAATCCCTGACCGCCAGCCACGCCAGCGCCACCTGGGCGGCCAGCTGCGGGAACGCAACTGGAACTCGTCAGAGAGTGTTAACTGAGCGGCCCCCTTTAACGCCACCCTCCG